CCCTTCTGAGGCACTACAACTCAGAAGACCCCGCACCAAACATCCCAAACCAACAATTTCAACAACATCAGCAATTGACAAAGTGTTGTCTGACATTGATCAACATGCCTCCGATCACCCCTCCAATAATCCTAACTCTGAACCACAAATTGTCCACTCTCCTCAACCAGAACAACCTCTCTCACCCATTCCAGAAGAACCACATATCCCTGAACAACCAGAAATTCCTCCTCCTTCTCCACAACCAGCAATTCCTTCTCCCTCTCCTCAACCAGAAATTCATCAACCATCACCTCAACCTGAGTTTCATCACTCTGAGACTCCAACTCCTCCACCTTCTGAACCTCATTCTCCTCAATCCTCTGAACCACAACCTTTGGAAATCCAGCTGCCATGTGGAACAACGGTCACAATGGCCCAGCTGCCATCCTCGCCAGAAACCACACCACCAAATACTCCCAAAACTCCCCCCAGTCCAATCATTATTTCTGATTCTCCCACTCCATCTCCCAAACAAACAGCTCCCAAACAAACCACAGAAAACCCCAGCAGGACCTTCATAGATTTAACAATCCTTGACCGTCTTGCTGATCTGAAAAATAAAATAGCCATCCCAAAACCAAAACAGCCAGATGTTGGCTCTGGTATTATGAATTTTGAAACAGGTTTGCAGCAGTGGATTGCTTCTCTGAAGCAAGTCTGTCCTGGAATGATTGATCCAGCTGCCTCTGACCAGCTCTGGTCACAATTCAGAATTTGGGTACGTGCTAAAGCTCTAAAATTGCAAGACATCAACTATGAGCAAGCTCAGCAGAATTTCAGCAAGCTTCTGAATGAAGTTGGAAGTCAGCTGCTGAAAGAAGACGTGCTCCTTCTGGATAGTGAGCCATGGTCTGAGAAGCGTCCAGCTTCAAAGGTGCAGCCAGAAGAAGATCAGACTATTCAAGATGAAGCCAGTCAAGCTGAAGATGTTGCAGAAAGCTCTCAGAAGCTCCCTGCTTCTGATGTTTCTCAAGCTGCCTTGGACAGGAAGACTCTGGAAGAGCTGAAGCTGAATGACATTCGTCTGCAGCAAAGGATGGATGAAAATGACCAGAAGATGAAAGAAAGGATGGATGTGCAGGATAGCAAGATAGATACAGTAGTCAGCATGGTGCACAAGCAGAATGAGACTGCTGATCAGATCAAAGCCATGCTGCAGAACCTGTTCACACGCCTTCCTCCCCAACCTTAGATTTTCATTCATGCCATTTTCATGTTTTCCTTGCTTATCTGTTGTACTGTTTTGTTTGGTTCTGAACTTTTTAATATGACAAGTTTTTCTGCTCTAATTGTTTTAGCACTTCACTTACACTTTTTGATTGCTGACAAAAAGGGGGAGAACAAGAATATGATATTTTTCCATAACGGATTACTAAGACAGAAAATCTCAAACATTCTAACTCTGATATACTTGAATATGTTTTCTGTTTTTGCTTAAGTCTACAGGTACAAGAATGCTCTGACACTCTAATATTCTGAAGACTAAAGCTCTTACACTCTGACCAAAGCAAAGCTCTGATACTCTGATCTGAAGCTCTGCTCTGACATTCTGATCTAAAGCTTTTGATAGTCAACACTCTGATATTCTGATGTTCAAAGAAAGGCAATAAAGACCTGATCCTGAAGAACTCCTGGAATTAAAAAGGGAAGTAATAAATTCAGGGGGAGTATCTCTCAACTCTGATATCTCTTTATCCTTATCTTTGATAACCTCTTACTCTGATACATCTTATCATTTAGTTATCTCTGATACTTTTTCACGTTATTTTCAATTAAAAATATCTAGTTTTTGTCATCATCAAAAAGGGGGAGATTGTTAGAACAAAGTTTGAATCTACTACCCTAAGTTTAAGTTTTGATGATAACAAAATGAAAGGATATATTAATTATGTGATTCATATAAGAGTTATTTGCTACCTAAAATATTACGTTCTGTTTTGCAGAAACTCTGATAGGTATCAGCAAGAGCACACCTAATCAGCATCAGAATATTGGTCATCAACGTCAGAATCAGAAGAATAATTCACGTGTATACTGAAGCTTGATGAACAGAACTGCGCTCAACACTCTGATAAAGACAACAACAGTTCATCAGCACTTAAGCAGAGTCAGAATGAGGCCAAGCCAGAACACGCTTTAAGTAGCAACGGTACTGTGCATTCAAAGCGAATTATTACCAACGGCATCATTCCAGACAAGATCTGCTCAATAAGGAAAGTTTGTTATTAGCATTGAATCAAGATTATTGCTCCAACGTTCAACAATTTCAGTGCTATATAAACAACACAATGAAGATTGAATTGGCTAATGCTCTGCATCATATTACACGCCTAAAAGCTAATCATCATCTTCCTTCTCTCGGTTTGCTAAACGCTTCATATTTCCTTACTCAGTATTTTAGCAATCTAGTTTCATAAGCTTAAATTGTGTAACATCACAGTTGTGATACAATTTTGTAGAAAACATTCACACACCTAGATTTCTCTTCTTTGTAAGAAAGTGTTTCCTTGACAAACCGGGTTGTGGTTTGCATCAAGAAGGCTTTAGCAGTTGTTAAAGAAGATTGTAATATTCAGTTGAATATAGTGGATTAAGACCTCGTTGGAGAGAGGCGAAATCACCTTGACGGGTGGACTGGAGTAGTTTGAGATCAAACAAACCAGGATAAAAATATCTTGTTCATTGCATTGATTTTCAGTTTTACAATTCAACCCCCCTTCTTGTGTTTTTCACTTCTTCAATGTCCAATGACTAAAATTGAATGAACAAATGCATATGAACATGATTAAATATTAACAAATCTACGCATGAGAACAGTAATAAGCATTTACTCAAGACTCTAGGAGTTGGGATTACACTCAAGCTGTCCATAAAACCCCACAAAGCCATTTCTATGAGATTATACCCACAAAGTAAATTCACACAATTTCTTTTCAAAGTTTCCAATCAGCATACCTCCTGGAAATTCACTTCCCTAGACGAGTTTAGCCTTCCAAAACTAGAAAAGGAACCTTGCAAAAGTTCTTCCCCATGAGAATTCATTTTCCCAAGAAGGTCGCCAGAATACTTTCCTCAATGGGGTTTATTTCCCCATTGGATTATAACCTCCCTGGCTTGAGTCTATTCCTCATACTATTGCAAATCATTGACAAAACTCCTCTTCCCCAGTAGAAGTTGTCACTATCACCAGAAAGTTGCTGCCAATCCTGGAATTTGACCAGATACCAGTTAACTTTATTCTCCCCAAGCAATTCAGTAGTTTAATCACCTCTTTTATCTCTAGCCAGGATATACGAGAATTAATTTCCCCAGTAGAGCAACGGATAACCAAGGTTCTTAGACTCTATTCCCCGAATAGAAATCAACATCCCAGTGGAGTTTTCTCATACAAGTAAGCAGGAATCCCCAGTGGAAGCATCCCATCCAAAGTCAGAGATACATATATCCTTCATCCACAGCAACAGTCAAGGATTTATTTTTCCTAGAAAAACATTTCATATTCATATGTCATAGCGTATGCATACGAAACGCATATAGCACAATCTCATTTATTTTAAGAACATCATTATGTAATGCATTTCATACATCACCACATTGCATACAACTAACTATTTATCTTTTCAAGTAAAAGTTCTCAACCAAACAAATATCATCAATATTTCTCAAATAGGTCAGAGATTAATTCTCGAAATAAGTCGGGGTAACTATCTCTACGACTAACAAAAAGCGGGTTACGAATTAATACCCGAAATAAGATAGGACAACTATCTGTGAACAATTGATTGTATATTAATACAGGAAACAAGACAAGACAACTATCTACATGAGCAGATTGAAGATTAACTCCCGAAACATGACGGGGAAACTATCTTTCTTTCTCTTCAGCTAGATAAAGATCAATTCCTGATGGCATCTATAAGCCCATCTCCGACAATAATCTGTCACTCTCCAAATGGCATCTTTAAGCTCAATCCTGGTATAATCAACCAAAGGCATTACTTCTTGCACAGGCGAGTGAAAATTTATGGGCACGTAAGTGTTTAATCATCTTCCACCTTCAAGTCACGAATGGCGAACATGCCAATCTAACTCTTCAGGTTTAAGAAAATTGAACAGGGGCAGCTGTTGTACCCCCAAAATTTTCCTTCATATTTCCCTCAATGGCGTTATCTTTGAAATAAGATTACTGGTCATCAGGTCAAGGGTTTATGACTAAAATTGCAAGTATTTGAGCCATGGAATAAGAGATGATGTTGTGAACTCGTATGACAATTAAGGCATGTTTGTTTCTTTGTTACTTTAGTTACAACTCACTTGTGTTTTGGACATCGAAGTTAAGGTTCTCATTGAGAGTACAAGTTTTATTTGGACATGATATGAAGATTAAGGTGTTCATTTAAATAATCATTGTTTTAAGTTCGAGTTAACCAAATGGAACTAAATTCTTAAGAATTTATTTTGTTCAAGAATTTTATTCAAGTTGGAAGATGATGCATATGGTTTACTTGAAGTAAAAATTACAAAGGTCATCTGTATGATTTCTTGGAGTTCAAATTACAAAAGCAGAGTGTATCATTCGTCCATTCTTCAAGTTTCATTTAAATTCAAGAATTTTGTTATAATTTGATTCAAGGTCATTATGCCAAGATTCAAATTCATTATTCAAGTCACCACACTCATTCAAATTCAAAAACTTTCATGACCATTCAAATGTCATTCATGTTCCTTTTCAAGATTACAAGTCATTACAAGTTTTAGAACAAAGTCATTACACAAAACAAAGTTCTTCACGATTTCCATAATTTTTTCCAAATACCATTACATGTCATGTTGTGTTACATCTTGAAACAAGAAACAAAGGATAAGTTTACAAAGTATCATGTTTCTAAGTGACTAATTGATAAAATCTATCATGTGGACTTTATTCTCCAAGCTACACGCTATCCACCATCCCTTCTTCAACCTTGCCTTTCCTTCTTCACCTTCAAATCAACAATCATCACATGAAAACAACAAAAAATAATTGGTCAGCAAGCAACATGAAACATTGGGCATAAAAACGAGCTTTTCAAAGAGTTTCTCTTAGACGCATCATGAGGGTTTATGTTTGGAATCAGAAATTTAGAGGGTCATTTAATCATGTTCTAATCCCAATTCAAAGCCTCAACTTAATTTGATTCACACAAAGAACAATCATAGGCCCATGCAAGCTTACTACAAATCATCAAAAGGAAAAAACAGACTCAGAATAGTATCACAGCCAATACAATCCAAATTCTACATAAAAACTTGTCAAAACAAACCACAAAAAAACAGCTTTGCATACTGTCCAAAACTTTGCACAAAATAGTCCAAGCATGTTGTCGAAATCCTGTTCAAACCTGCACCATATCAGTCCAATATTTGCACAAAATTTTTTAAAATAAGAACTACATCAAGAAAGAATCAAAACAGTATATCAAAATTTTTCAAACTTATCACTATTCCCTGCACCCCCAAATCCCATATTTCTCATCTATAAATAATAGTCGAAGAACACAGAATAGACAGAGAAAAAGAGATACAAAAATCACAGCTATCATACAAACCCTATTTTTTCGAGTCATCATTTTCCTCAAACTAAAAACCCTTCAGAAACTAAAAAAACAAAGAGAGAAAGAGAGAAAGAGATAAAGTTTTACATAAGGAAACTTCCCTGTCAAAACCATCATCCAACAATATCAACATACAATCTCTCTCTGTCAAAACAACAACCAGAATCATATCTGCAATGCTCACAAACTCCACTCAAGCTTCCCTCTCGCCATCTTAATCTCTGCATAGACCAAACCGCTCCTACCAAGTAACACAAATCATAACAGAAGTATCACATAAACGTTCAATGGTTTTCAAATAGAAGGAAACACAAGAAAAGGTTCAACTCACCTCTTTTTGGAATTGCGTTAGAGACTCCGATAGTTATTGTTTCTTCCACTCTTTTGCATAAATTTCTTCTTTATATCTCTGTTTGTTTATACTATAAATTTGTTTCCGTTGTTGTTGTGTATGTTCGAACTGAATCATAAATCTATGAACCAAAAAAGAAGTTGTTGTTATCTATAGTGAATTTGCGAAAAAATGAACTTTTTGTGTGGTTGTTGTATAGAAAGCAGAATAAAAAAAACTAACAAATCTTCAATTATCACTCTCCCAATTAAACCTTCAAAACTTCAACCTCATACTCCCTGCAAATAACCCACGCTAAATCCTTTTTCTTCCCTTAAATTCAACCATAAATCTTTTATATGTTTCATTTCACACTCATTCCTTTGTGTCCTTGTATAACCTAACACTAATGAAAGAAGAAATTGAAGAACTCGTACCTTAAAGTTCGAAGATTCATCGAAGGAGTTCCAATTTGGCGACTTTGTTTCCTCTTTATCCTTCCGCGTGAGAAATATTAATTTGTTGTTGTGGTTCACCGAGAAAGGTTTCGCGGATGAGGATTTGTTAATGTTGTTCGTTTTGGCTGAGCTTAGTCTCATAGTAACAATTGTTGAGCCCAGAACAAAGAGAGAAGGAGAATAAAATAGATAATAAAAACAAAAACCCATAATCTTGAAGAGTGAAAACAAGGTTCCGATTGGATCGTATCTGAGGGATGCATGCCGAATTTGGAAATTTCATGTGTGATTAGGGCTTTAGCGTTATAGAGGAATAAGGGTAGATTAGATTTTGATTTGTTTGATTGAAGTTAGATTTTAGGAAACAAGATCGAGAGAGACAAAGAGATGAGGTTTCGTTATGTTGTTGGGAGATTTTAGAAGAGAGATACAGATATTCGTATGATGGTGAGGAACCATAGGAAGTATATGCTAGTTTAGGGAGAGAGAGAGAGAGAGAGAGAGAGAGAGAGAGAGTCGATTAAGATGATGGTAGCGAAGAAAGAGGAATTTCTAATCTATTTTAGTTTTGCAATTAATTATATTTTTTTGGGAAATAATCAAGGTTAATGAAATAAATGGAATGGGTCTTTCCAATAAGCATGTAGCCATTCCACCCTTTTGAATTCCTAGGGTTTCCCAACCTTCCCCTCTTCAAATTTCGTTGGGCTTAAATCAATATGTTGTGCCCATTCTTTTTTTACAACCTAAGAGCAGACTGATCAAAAACAGTCTCTTGGACTCAATTGAGTGGGCCTCATACGCCCAAGGACTCTACTGACTCATACCCTGTTTTTTAGCTTGGCGCCCCCTGTTGCTCTCATTTTTAATATATTTCTTTATAATTTATTTTTTATTTAATTTTAGGAATTGCTCTATTGTTAATGTTTTTCTCAACATGATGTAAATAACAAAAAAAATATTAGACTATTTTAAAATTAGGATTTAGTTTCCTTTTAAATTTAATATTTCTTTAATAAAATACAAAAAATATTATTTAGAATTTTAAATTCTTGAGTTTTCTTTCATAGCTTTTTATTTGATTTAAATCCCTTACCCGATAAAATCATAAAAAATGATAATTTCTATTTTCTTTCTATTTTCGTGTAATTTATTATTTTTGCATTTGTTGTACCCCAAAATTTTCCCTCTCATCTCTCAAAGATTGTTCTCACAAAATTTCAACTAAGTCAAGGTTGCACAAAATTTGCTTCGATTGAGCACCTAACCTCCTTCAAGCTTGCTTCAAATTTCCAAGCTTCAATTGAAGCCTTGGCCTTTTTCTTATTTGTTGTATACAAGCTTCGGTTGGGCATTTGTTTCCTTTGAAACAGCCTCCCTCTTTTCAAAAGGGAAGGGCCTCTTGTTGGTGTCCTTTAATTCAGAAGTTAGTGGCTTCCTACTGACTTCTTTTGATTCAGAGGGAGTTGGCTTCTTACTGGGTTCTTTCGATTTAGTAGGTGTTAGCTTCCTACTTAAGCCCTTTAATTCAGAAGACAAGTGTCTTTTGAAAGATTTCCTTCCATTCACAAGGCAGAGACCTCCTACATGCAAGCTTCGATTCCACCCTTGAAAACATTTAACACACATAGTGTCTGCACTATGACATACCTGGATGCCCCTTGCAGAAGGTACATAACTAGAGCATTCGAAGGACAGGCGCACAGTCCATTCAAAGGACATATATTTTCCCCATTCAAAGGACACGTGTTGATGGATTTAAAGGGGCATACGTGGGTGTTCCATTTGAAGGATTTACTTTGTTGGCCCATTTGAAGGAATTGCAAGTGATGCACACAAGTGATGCGTGTGGTCCCTTCAAAAGAGCATACACATGGGTTCAAAATGAAGGATACACATATTGTTGGCCATTCGAAAGAGACACATATTTCAAGTTTATCTTATGATGAGTCTTGGTCTTACATGTGGCTAGGCGCAGGCTTCCTGTGCAATAGCGTTTGAAGGAAGTGATGAAGGAGGCTTCGATTGACAGAATGAAGTTCTCACTTGAGGGTATCTGAATTAAAAAGCTAAGGCAAATAGATGGATCCCATCTAAAGCCATTTGAAGGACACGTAAATGATCAATTCAAAGAAGAAACTTAAAAGCCCATTGGAAGGACACTTATTATTGTCGGAAAGAAAGGAGTTTGGTTAAATATTAGATCTAGTTGGCCAAAACGAAAGAGAAATATGCAAAGATGATGGTTGGCCCAAAATACCACATATTGCCATACTCAAGCTCCCTGCACAAGCATTCATATTGTAGGAAGCTTCGATTAGCCTGGAAATAGTTTTTCGTTGGTGCTAGCTGAGTAGGGGCTCAATCGAAGAGGCCCCAATGATGAGACTTGATCCATTCAAAGGACACACCGTGGCAGCCCATTCGAAGAGGGCACAAGGCATATATATGGACTATTCGAAAGACACTCAAAAATCCATTCGAAGGAGACATTCAAAAGGCCCATTCGAAGGGTACACAAAAGGTCCATTCAAAAGACCAAATTCGAAGGATATATAAGAGGTCCAATCAAAAGGTAGGGACTGAAGGTATTCCATGTCTTTTTCCAAAATTCAAATTCTCATTCATGGCCTTAAAGAACATATTTATGGTTGTGTACTACCTTGCTATCATGTCCCCTCCTTCCCCTATATATAAGGAGCACACTAGCAAGCTCAAAAGGGGACGAAAAAAGAGAGGGGACCCCATGCATACACACACACAAATCCAGGAACCATGCGTATATATTGCCTTACACGCATACACAGCCTAAGAGAAGCACACTAAAAACTCTCAAAACTCAACTAAATCACACCACACTTCCCTATCTCCTTTCTTATCCAAGAGTATCCAGCAACTCTAGTCCCCTATGCAAGTTCCAGTTTTAAGCAAGTTAAGTCCCCTTGACCTTGCATCTTTCGTTTATGCATGACATGTAAATAGCCTTTTATTTACTTTTCGTTTCAGCATAATATGTAGATAGCCTCTTAGTTATGTTCTTCATTTCTTCCCTTTTGGTTTGTTTGTTTTTCTTGTTGGAACTAACCTGTACGGATTCAAATGAAAGACAAAAGGAGTGTGAACGAAGGATATACACTTATGCTTCTCTATGGGTCCATGTTACTTCATAATCTAAATTGAAAGAAGCATATGAGTTTACAGTCGAAGGTTGCTCATGCCCACTACCTGACTCAATCGAAAGAAGCAGAGAAGGTTGCAATCGAAGGTTTCCCATATCATTCCTAAACTCAGTCGAAGGAGGCAGGAAAGGATGCAAATTGAATCTTTCTCACGTCAACCCTTAAGCCCAATCAAAAGAAGGAAAAAGAATGATGAATCGGAGGAGTCCATGGCTTGGATCGAAGAATTCATTTCTCTTCTTTATTTTGTTCTTTGTTTTTACATTTTTCTTGTCTTTCGATTTGGTTGTAATAGCGTAAGACCCTTACTTTCTGCATTTTTCACTTCTTTTCATATTAACTGCTAGATGCATGACTAATAGAATTTTATGGTAAAGACTGAAATCAAACGCTAGCAAACCTAACCTAAAAAAACAAAAAAGACAAAAATAACTGAAGATAACACACATTGCACATATGCACCTCTAGGGTACCCCACTTTGGTTGCCTTCGGAAATAAAACATTCATGTCCCTCAAGACAGGGAAGCTTTAGCAAAGACCCATAAATCAAAAGATCATAGTCCCTAGATGACCCTACAATTTCCTTTTGGTAAGTGATCTAGTCCCTAAACAAAATTACTAAAGTGTCTCCACATGTTGCCTTTATGAAGGTACGTCCCTTCGAATGTCCCTCATACATCCAATAATGGAGCTTCTTATCAATCAATGGTGAGATAGAAATATCTAAAGGAGGAGGAAAAGAACAAAGACCTTTTGAGTAGGTAGGACGCTCGTAGTTGCTTGCTTTCTCATAACAAAAAACCATTTACACACCAATACTTTCAATTGAAACATTTTCAAAAGTCAAAGCCCTTTGTACACATTCTTATAGAGACGAGAATCATTACAAAGGCACTTTTCAAAATCACTTTCAAAAACATCTTCCAAAAGCAAACACTTCTTTAAACTATTTTCAAAACCAACACTTTGTACGCATTCTTATAGAGACGAGAATCATTACAAAGACGTTTTCAAAATATTTTCAAACCCATACGACAAGCACATTTTCAAACAAAAGCAAGTGATCTAGTAAGAAACTAAGAGCCCGTAGAACTACAGATGGAAAGGGTGCTAACACCTTCCCTTTCCATAATTTGCCCCCTTACTCAGAAAATTATTGAAAAGGTCTTTTTCTGTTCTTTTCAGCCTTTCCTTAATTTAGATAAAAGAAAAGTTTGTGGTGACTCTTGCTTACCGCAATATTTGTGAACACAAATGCAAAACCAGTATTAATAGTCAGTTCTGTCACTGTATCATAGAACTAGCGACTCTGCTGGGGATTTAGAAAAATTTGGGTTACCTTAGAGTTAGTTCATTTTAAAATTGTTTTAATTGCTTACTTTGTATGCTTTATCCTTAGAGGATTTGTTTAGGTTGTTACTATAGATCCTACACCCGGATTTGGGGACGTCTTTTTAGGTAAACAGCAATAGATCATGGAGACTGTAAGGCGTAGACTAATATGGTTGAAGTGATAACTGTGTTTGTGTGACACTTTGTTTGGCACCGATATCCCTTGTGTTGAATCGAGGAGAACACGAGGCCGCCGCGTGGTGTCGTGAAGCACTAACGGACCTTAGAACCTTAGTTGAACAAACTTAGCCATTAGAAAGTAGTGATATAGATGGCCTTGGTGTTAAGCGGGGGAATTGTTGATACTCGATGCTACACTCATTGAGATTGGACTTCGATATGTTTCGATCGTAAGAAAAGATTGTTAAGCTGAAATAATGCTCGATAAAGAAAGATCAATGATATTGAGACTCCTTAGAACCCAGTTGCTACTTCTAGGACAGGTTGAGCCAACTAAACTTCAATAGGTTACTTACCTATGGAATCCATGCAATCTTGAACCTAGGGCTACTTGTGTGATTTGTTTGCTTTCATTATCTAACGACTCGAACTCTTTGCAGGGTTTTGGTTATCATCTGATGATATGAGTCATTGTCCAATAACCTAGATTTCTAGAAATACATACTTGTCTTCATCAC